GAAGTCTCTGAAGTTGCTCATGACAACTCTGCGCTTAATTGGCTAATTCTCAGAGACATTAGCTATGACATATAGGCAGACTGTCGATATCCAAAGCGAGTATATCTTTCTCCATTATTGATTGAAAATGATGCTATAAAAGCCAAGTGATTGAAACATTTGAAATATTTTGGACACTTTTGCACAGTTCAAGGTTCTGCTCTGTTTCGAAACCACTTCACGGGAATGGGATGTCAGCTTCTAACTCATTGTTCTTATCGTTCACGACGGGACATAGAAGCCCATCATCGCCCAGATGGACTTGCCACACAAAACTTTTCAACTTCTACCCTACTCACATCATAATGCAGCGATTCGTCTTGCACGAGAGTGGCATCTGATTCCGAGTACAGCGATGGTTGAGGAAGCAACGTCTCACTATCGGACATCTCGGGTTCGCTGCGCTTCCCCGATTCAGAACGAGGGACGGTGTTTGGATACTTTACGTATGCTTCTCCAGATACCTTCTTAGTGGCGTACGGATCGTAATGCTGCTCGGATATCTCGCCAGTGTTGACCATTCCACTACCAACATAACTTTCGATGTCTTGGGCTGTTACCTAAAAACAGGCACAATTTTAACAGATATTAATTCAATTACGGTCATTCAGTCTAAACGGCTAGGTCAGACCAATCCCTACACTTTGAGAATATCGTGATGATGTGCTTGAAGGGAGGAAGAGCCAAATTATAGTTTCGGTTTTTTAAAACAAAAAACACCAAAAGAAATGAAAATAAGGGCATTCAGAGTGATGCTTACGATAATGGCTCACCTTTTGTGCCAGTTCTCTACTGTCAAGCTCGTTTTTTCTGTAGCTCCAATAAGCATCTGAATATGGGCTGATTGGCGTTCGCAGATCGCTGCGAAGCTCAAGCTCACGGTCAATGGAAAGGTATTCAGCTGTGGAGTGTCTCGAAGATGTCATGCTCTTAATGGTATCTTGAACCTGAAGCATTGGAGCAAGCGGCTTGACATCCGCGTCCATGAGCAAGAACGTCGATCTGTTGTCGGAGGGATCGTGGTAGTTTCTCACCAAATGCTGGTTGCATTCGTAGTTTGTAATGCTGGAAGGAGGTCTGTGATTGTCCAGAGAGTTCATTGATAAGTATGTGGGAAGCAAATTGTTGCTCAGACTATTGGGATCATTCGCTATATAGGTTGGTAGCTGGATCATGCTTGAGGCTCCTATAGATGAAGACAAATGAGATGCTGAGGATAGAGGTCTGATGGGTGTATCTCTATCGAAGCCATTTTGCCAATGCGTTGAGT